TATATATATATATAATTAATAGATATATATATATATATATATATATATCATAATTCTTAAAAAAATTGTTTTTATCTAAGTAAAATTCAGTACTTTCTTATCAAGAGCTTTCCCAATGGCCTGCAACAGTTCATTTGTCTTCGTCGGTTCTTGACCAGAGACAATTTTACTTGCCCTGACCGTTAAATTAGCACCCGAAATTAATTCTAAAATACACGTATAATACACATATTCATGTGATATATTTAAATAATAATATATTTATCTTTGAAAGAAATACTTACTGACGACGTCAATAAGTTTCGTCAGAAAGGCGAGCTTTCCTTCCTTGTCTTTTATATTATCAGAATTTAGCTCTTCGTCGGTGAACAATCCTTTTAAGAAACCGGTTTCTTTGATGATCTGAAATCAATTTTTATCTACGTAAAAGGAATCCGATACGCGAGTAAAGTATAAATGTTAATTTAAGACAAAACAGATTAAAGAATTTTTTTAATATTGAAATGACTATACGAATGTATAAGCAATTAAATTACAGCTGTTATAATATCGTGGAGGAAGCGAAAGGGTGGCTTCCGGAGCAACTTTTCGGTCAGCGGTGGCTTCTTGAAATATTTCCCGAGTAAGTCCTGCGTCTTCTTTATCACTTCGGGTCGCACCTCGTCCGTCATCGTGGTAATTGTCTTTCGCTATGTCATGTCCAATTGTCAACACATGTATGACATCGTCTCGCAACAGTCCGCGTCAATGTAATGTCAAACGGTTACTAAGCAACGCCGAAGCGAGCACCACACGTGAGTACCACGTGCCACATGACAGCCATGTAGTCATGTGCTTCGTAGCAAACATGCCGATTGGTCGATTAATCTCTTTCATTTTTAAAGCTCTTTGGATTTTTTCCTACGTTTGTAAAGATTTTGGTGGCTTTGGAAAATACATTGTGATGGCAGCACTGCTGTTATTTATCGTCTAGTGATATTGTTATGTTTTTGTCGGATTGAACCAGACATTTATTTATACTATACACTAGACCGCTAACTCCTCTATTTACTGAGCCTGAAGTTGACTCCAAAACTATGTATTACATAATGTGACGTAAGGGGGACAATGATGTCACGTGATCAAAACGTCACGTGGTCACGCGAATGTAATATGCACTACAAGACATAGACATTTTTATTAAAGATCTTAAATATTTCCATTCTTCAAATTCTGCTTTAGAAATTTTTTTCATTTT